ATTTATTTGTCTGGGCTCTCTATATAAGACATGATAGATGTTCATATGTATTCAATTACTGTTGGTATACAGTGAAGAGTTTTCTAGGAAACCATAACATCTTTTTTCATGGTCAAAAAATTATAAGCCTATGTGTGAAAAGCTGTAATATTTTTAGGATTTGCTTAGTGCAGTGTTCTGATTATGATCAGAATTTTTATAAGATCTATTAATTTGGGCTCCATGACTAAGCAGTTCAGAACATTTTATGAGGCACTAAACATTTAAAAACTTGAACGTGTATAGCACTGATTGTTGCCTCAGGAAATAGTCATTGTAATTTACAACATTTGGTATCTGTTTATCTGATATTTATTAAACATTTACTTCAAATACCAGGTGCTAGATGCATATCCATCAACTGGACTCCTTCAAAAAGCCCATAGTCTGATTTGGAAAATGGCAGCTGCAGGTTTCCTAGGAATTTCAGCAAGGTTAGTGATCAGAATTTTAGAGTCTCCAAATGACTTGGCTAATAATTCAGTCAGAAAAAGTTTTGATTTTAAGTATTTGCACTAACCTAACATCTGCAGTAACTTTTGGCACTAGTATTTGGGAATTTTAGTAGACTGTTTGCCTTTTTCTTTCTTTCTTTCTTTTTTTCTTTTTTACCTTTTTATTTCTTTGTTATTATTCCCTTCATGTTGTCACGGACAGTCACTGGACACACGTCCCCGTTTGCTAAGCTGACGCTGTGTGATCTGCAGTGTCTGGGGCAGTGTGTGCTCCAGCAGCCGGTCTGCCCAGTAGGACCTGTGCATCTCCAGGTGGAGGGCCTGTGTTGGAGTTAGCTGCCTCCCTGTCTGCTCTCCTCCACTTGTGCACCATGGGAGTTGCCTGTCAGCCCAGGTGGGAAGCTCTGGGTTCCTCGCGCTTGACTTTGGCCTGGCCCAACCCTGGCAGTTGTAAGCATGTTGGGAGTGAACCAGTGGATGGGACTCAGGTGTGGGACCCAGGTGTCAACCACTAGGTTAGCCACTCACTCTCCAGGAAATACACTTTTTATTTTAAACTAGAAGAGACACATAAGTGGAGGGTGATGTGAACATTTTATTAGGATTTTAAATATTGCATCTTCTGAATAATAATGAAAAAGCATTCATGTGTAAAAGGTAGTATATGTAGGTTTTCCTAAATTTTTGAAATTTGGATTCCCATGTAAAATGTATCATGATAAGTATGTTCATATATTCAGATGCAAAACTTGAAATCACTTATGTAATGGGGCTCTCATTACAAATGTCTGGATTTTTTTCAATGTTTGACATAATTTGCTGAAATAGTGTTTAATTTTGTGTATCATATAGTTGCCAAATGGTTGCTATGTTTAAAGTACATGTTTTGCCTGGTAAGTATCTTAAAATAACATACTTTTATGTGACTTAAGAGACGAAGAAATATTTGTTTGTCAAAATGAGTCATTGAAGGTGAGGGATAACGATGGGTTTAAAATTTCTTAGATGTGTTAGTCATCTCCCCATAGACTTAATAATTCTGACGAACTTTGTCCATAGTATCAGCTAAAAAGTGTGGAGACACACTTTTGAAATGTGAAATTTGTGCCGATTGTGTCTTGATACGGGAGTGGATACAGATTTTTATCGTTTGGATGAGCATTTCTGAGTTAGTTCTGAGGCAGTGAACGGGTGGCAGTGGAGATGTATTTTGAGGGCTGCGTCATCGAGTGCTGTAATGTACCCTTCGTCTGGAGCGAAGGGAGACTGAGGACAGTGAAGTGCGGAGTTCAAGTCCTGACATTTCTGAAGACTCTCACCTTCCTGTCAGCAGCTGGGAATGAATTCTGAGCCTGTGGGCAACCTTGCTGGCATGCTTCACCACCTTTTTTTTCTCTTCCATTTATAGTTGTTAAAGAGCTCTCCTACAAGATTAGTTTAGAATTTGTTGAGTTTAAAATTATTTGCTTCTAAGGAATGGTTGACATCTAATTTCCTATTAAATCATGTTATTTGCATTTAAATTTAGCATAGTGAGATTTTGGTGAAATGACCTAGCATCTAAAACTTGATTTAAAATTCATTAAGCCCTGTTACATCAAATTTGCTGTGCTTTTTAAAACACAAAATGGAACTCAGTTAACTCAGATTCACAAACTGAAGTGAAAGACGTTTGAAGCCAGTAAACCAACATAATTGAGAACTACTGTGTACAGTTGACGGAAGTGTGAACCAGGAATCCAGAAGACCACATCGCTGTAGAGTCAGAGTAGGTGTTTGTTGGTCATTGTGACTGGGTGATGTGATGGCTGGAAACAAAAGAGGGTTTTTTGCTTGCTTGTTTTTAGATGACTTTGGTTATATTCTTGAGGAAGGGAAAAGAGTGTGGCGACACCCTTGAACTAATGAAGTATTTCTGAAAATCCCAGTAAACTTCTTTTTGTGGTAAAACTAAAAAAGTGGGCAGTATTTTAAAATCCATTTTGTTTTCACAAACATTTTTTTTCTGATTTTATTCACACTTCAGATTTAGAAGCATAGGGAACCCCCACCCTCTTCCTTCCCTGTCTCCCCTTGCCCCTTATCCCGCTCCCCCAGGTTGTTACATGGCATATCCAGTCACTTTGCAGCAGCGGGTTTAGCGTTCCAGCGTGTAAAGATGATCGTGACATAGCAAGTACAGGAAAAAGAAGCAGCAGAAGTGGCATTGTATTGCTGATCGCTTAGGACTGTAGACAAGGCTTCCACAAGCGCTTCGACAAGCTTGGTGGTCATCCTGGCAAGTCTGTGTTGGGATGTGTTGGGCTGCCAGGTGTCTGTGAGGGGACTTTTCCGCAAACACGAGGCCGTCTTACTGGTGCAGAGTGAACCGTGTCACCTGTTTTGCAGCACTGATTTAGGGCGACGGTGATGTTCTCACTCTTCCCACCCGCCCTCCTCCCTCCTCTCTCTCGTTCTGTCTGGTTTTGGCAGTGATGTATTTTCAGTTCACTTCACAATCACAGGCTCAACACTGCATTAGATAAAGAATTCGACAACAACTAGCAAGAAGGAAAAACCTGTTACCTGAGAGAATGGGCAGAAGCTGTAAGCAATGATCAAATCTCAAATTGTCAGTCTCATTCTTGTAGATTATGTTTATTTTATACTCTGTGCGTTACCAGCAATCAAGGAGATCCAATTTTGAGATTGGCTAATTGCACTAAACACAACGATTTCCAGTTGTGTCCATTTCATTCTTTTTAATGGCTGAGTAGACTGCCATGTGTGCATTCACCCACTGATGAACACTGGGCTTGATTCCTTCTCTTAGCTGATATAAACTGAGCTGCAACAAGTGTGGGCATCAACTGTCAGTCCTTTTTTTTTTTTTTAAAATTGGAAAGTCAGATTCACAAAGAGAGAGAGGAAAGATCTCCCATCCGCTGCAGATTCACTCCCCAAGTGGTCTCAACAGCTGGAGCTGAGCCAGTCTGAAGCCAGGAGCCAGGAGTTTCTTCCAGGTCTCTCTCACGGGTGCAGGGTCTCTAGGCCTTCGGCTGTCCTTGACTGTTTTCCCAGGACACAAGCAGGGAGCTGAAAGGGAAGTAGAGTAGTCGGGATTTAGAACTGGCGCCCAGGGCGGATGCAAGACTTTTAGCCACTAGGCTTTTGTGCCAGGCCCTACACTGTCAGTCTTATCCTCCTGTTGCAAAAAGAAAGGGGATGTGTCTGGGGTGGTGTTCAGCCTGGTTTGCTGGGACTTGACAGCAGCTTGCTCTCCTCTGGGGAAGGGAGGGCTGGCTGAGGGAGGAGCTGCTGTGGCACTGGGCACTTTCTGGGCAATTGCATTTTGTTTTCTGAGGGTTTTTTAGCACTAGAAAATAATTGAAAAACCCATGGTCTGTGTGATCTCTAAGGATTGACCAGTTCATTTTTAGTCGTTGGTGAGTCACAGTAAACCAGCCTGTGTCGATTGCTGCCGTTCTAGTGAAGAAGACTGTCAGACTAGTTAGTGACCGTGACCGAGAAGTGGCCACTGCTCCTGGCGGCTTTCTGTTCTCTCTTGATGTCGGGCTGATGCATTTGACTTGTTTGATACCCAGAGTTCCAAGCTCAAGAATTTAGATCATATTTTGCTTATACGTTTCAAATTTCAGGTTCAATCAAGTGTAAGCAGACTTTATTGTAGCTTTATTGGGCTTTTGGAAGTGTCTTGTATATTTTTAATAATGTGTTTCAGTGCAAATGTTAGCTTATGCAGAGCAAAGCATGGAGCAAGTTCAGTCCTTTAACTGCAATTTGCTGATCCTTGTTTTATTATTAATATCTAATGATTTCAATTGTTAGTTACAGCCACCAACAAGAATGCTAGATACAGGCCGATCTCAAGTGACATTTACCTTACGACGGTTTGATTTTCAGTATTTGTCTTTACTGCTCTATAGTAAAAACAGATGTAATTTCCCTGACTCATCAGAACCACCTCTGAGGCCCTCTGTTGGAATCAAGGATAAGACTACAATAAAGTATTTTTTAAAAAGATTAATTTTATTGGAAAGTCAGATATACAGAGAGGAGGAGAGACAGAGGAAGATTTTCTGTCCGATGATTCACTCCCCAAGTGAGCCGTAACAGCCAGTGCTGCACCAATCCGAAGCCAGGAGCCAGGAACTTCCTCCAGGGCTCCCATGCGGGTGCAGGGTCCCAAGGCTTTGGGCCGTCCTCGGCTGCTTTCCCTGGACACAAGCAGGGAGCGGGATGGGAAGCGGGGCTGCCGGGATTAGAACCAGCTCCCATGTGGGTTCCTGGTGTGTTCAAGACGAGGACTTCAGCCGCTAGGCCACTGTGCCAGGCCCTGAAGTATTTTGCAACAGTACCAGTTTGATGTACTGTCCATGAGATTAAATTCACATGATTTGATGAGCAGATTTATTGTGTTGTTAAAAAATGGGTAGAAGACAGATGGTGCTTCCGGTGTTCCCTGATGAGTGTGGTTGATGTGGGCCTTGGTGTGCTCCCTTGCAGCTTGTGTGAGTCCCTCGGCGGGCAGTGAAGGCTCGGTGGGCAGCACAGATGAAGAGCAGCCACCGCAGCCGGTGAGGAGGACACTCATGATGAAAATTCAGCAGAACACAGGTATTTTACTTGTTTCATGACATTGACAAGAAAACATTTCAGATTTCAGCTTTTTTCATTCTGCTTTCCTGAAAGTGCGAGATTAAGCAAAAATATTGGCTATTTGTACAAGTGGCAAGCCATGGCGATAGAAACACTTAGTGAAGCATTATTATTTAAGTTCCTTCAAATGAACATCTTTTAATATTTTTGTTATTTTTAGAGGATAGATATGGAACTTGGGGATTGAACTTAGTAACAAAGAAATTGTTTTCCAAACTTGTATTCCTATAATTAGCATTGCATGAGGTTTTGATAGGCATCTACTTAAAGCAGTTTGTGGAAAGTGAATTTCAAAATAATTATTTTAAGAATAATTTTCGATTGTACTTATGGAGGTCTTCACAAAATTCTTGGAAAATGCATTAATGTGAAAAAAACTACTTTTCAGAAAAATTGTTTTGCACTCAAACTTGTCTTCAGTTCCATTTCCTGGGAGCTTTTTTTTTTTTTTTTTTTTTTTTTTTATTTATAAGATTTTATTTTGACATTTTTTACATAGTTAATTAGGGTAAGAAGGTTCAAGGGCTACATGAAAGTGGATAATACTAGTATGTTTTCCATATTGTTACCTTCATGTTTAAAGGGGGTTATTTAAGGGAGAAGGCCCACCAATTTCCCACCCTCCCCAGGTCCCGGATGTAGGGCATGCTCTGAGGTTCTTGCTCAAGTGGTTTTGATATTGCCACAGTCATGAATCGCTGTCAATCTTGCCACTCCAAGCACTATGAGATCTTTGAAAAATCAACTGATTGACATAGTCCATCATAGCTGAGATGGTTGCTTGACCTGTTCTGTCTTCTCTCTTTTCTTCGTTAGGGTTCTGAGTCCAGCATTTAGATTAGGAAGATCTCCAAAGAAACTTCTTGTATGTGCTAACAAGTACAGGGCCTGGCACCGTCCATCGCTCCAATCAGCTGGTGGTTGCAGTTGCTGGGTTGGTTCTGTTTTCACTCCCGACTTCCACTGGAACCAATGGGTGTTGCAGTCCAGCCTGGTTCTGCCCAGCACATACTTGGCCCTCACATAAACCAGCGGGAGCTGCAGCCTAGGTTGGAGCGACCCACAATAACCCCCACCAGACCCACTCCCTACCCTGGTTTGCCAGTAAGTGTAGCAGTAATCCAGTCTGTCCCACACCCCATTCCACCCCAGCCGCTATCTTAGTTATCTTAGTTTTATGTCCTGTGAAAGTGGTAACCCAAGAGGGATGAGCCCACTATTTCCCTCCCAGGCCTCTCCCACTCCCAGATTCCAGTTGATGCTGCGTCTAAGCCCAAACAACCTTTGCCCACTTTAATTTTGCTTGCACCAGTAGGAATAATCCGCCGAGTCCGGCTTTTCCCTGATCTGGTCCGCATGAGGCGCACAGGTGTGGTAGCTCTGCCCAGTCTGGTCTGCCCCCATCTCCTGGGAGCTTTTTGAAGTACCCTTCAATATGTTTTATGAAATTCAAATTCAGATCTGGAAATTAGCTACTGCTGTTCATCAGATCGGCTTAAGAGCATTCTCTTTATTTTTTAAATAAGATTTACTTATCTTTCATTGACAAGATCAGATTTATGGAGAGAAGGAAAAACAGAGAGCGTTTCCTAAATTCTTTGTGTGTTTTCTGAACTAATCTGGCCACTTTCTTTTTTTTTTTAACTTGCTGTAATCAGAGGAAAAAAAGGAAAGTCACCAAACCAGTGCTAACGAGTTCTTAGATTTTGTGCTTGTAGCCCCTGGGCTCTGCAGGGCTTAGTAGCTGTTCCATGAGTTTGCGTTGTAGTGGTGGAAAGTTGCTTCCCTGGAGGCAGTATTAGTAATTACAGAAACCCTTACAAGTGTCTGTTGGTTTTTTCCTTGGATATGAGTACACACATCAGAGAGAAACTTTGTCCAACGTGTTCAGGCCTGTTGCATTTTCGTGTGTGTGTGTGTGTGTGTGTGTGTGTGTGTACGCATGTGTGTGTGCTCGTATACACTTGTTGGGCCTATGGGTTAGCCACACGTTAGAATCGAGGGTCAACTTGTGCTAATGCCGTCTGCCTTTGTCCTGTGTTTGCCTCCCTTTAGGTGTGATTGCCGCAGTCGCAGTCGCAGTCTTTGCTGCTGGCGTCTCCTTTCATTACTTCAGTGACTAGGGTGAGACACAGAGCTTCGTGAGCCCTGGGAACGCTGGCCAGTGGTTAGCAATGATACAGGTGTAGACATCCCCCTTGTTTTTCAGACAGCAACAGCCGTGTCTGCTGCCATAATGCCTATTTGATTGGTTTTATGCCAAAATGAAGCCACCAGCTGCCTTGTTCTGCTTTTATAGGTAGACTAGGTTTCAAAAATAAACAAATAAATAAAAAATAAAGTTATGTATCCAGATGGAAATTGCATGTGACAAATCATTAATACCTCTTTTTTAAAAGGCTAAAAATAATAAGATATTATTATGGATTATGATCCTTTTGATCTGGATTATGTATTGATCAAGGCATTAAAAATAGTAACAGTACATTAGACACAATTTCTGCCAACTTGGGGTAAGTTCATCCTCTTAGACCTTTCTAATGTACCGCTGAGTTCTCTTCTGACTGGGGACTAGGAAACCTTTCCAGAGAGATTTGAATCCATACAAAGTGCCATAAATCATGTGCTTTCTCAGTTTAGTGTATCATAACTATTTAATCTATGACATTGGGACTTTTTCTTCCAGCTTTATATTGGATTAGACACTGTAAAAGAATTCGTTCCCTAGTAAGGTCTGCATTTGAACAGGCTCCAAGGAAGTGGATGTCTTCAAGAACCATAGCACCCTCTTCCCTCCCTGACAAAAATAAACCTGTTTCAAGTTGGGGAACATTGATCATCCAAGTAGACTAGGGTTGCCAAGATGGCAAGTGCTAGTGGCAATGTCCTGAATGCACTGGGCTACGGGGCTGTTACTGTGGTGCGGTGTATTGAGCTTCTGCTCGTAACATTGGCATCCCATGAGAGAGTGCTAGGTTGAGTCCCAGCTCTACCTTCAGAACAGCTTAATGCTAATGTGCTGAAAAGGCAGTGGAAGATGGCCCCAGTACTTGGGCCCAGACCGCCCAGGTAGGAGCCCAGCATGGAGTCCGTGCTCCTTGCTTTGACTTGGCTCATGCTGAGCAGTTGTGGCCATTTGGGGAGTGAACCGGTAGATGAAGATGTATCTTCCCTTCTCCCTCTTTCTGCCTCTGTGTGCATACTGTTCTGCCTCTCAAATAAATAAATAATAAATGAGTGGATGGAAAGGTCACCGTATCTCAAGCCAAAGCAAGGAGAGAGAACTGGATCTGAAGTGCTGTCCTGGCCAGGACAGTTGAAGAAGTTAAGTAACACTCGGGATATAGTTTTCAACATGGGAAGCACTCCTAATTTAGGCTCAAGATTCCCTTATATTATGTGATGACAAAAAATCACCAGGTTCAAGTTGGAAGAATCTGTAAAACAAAACAAAAACAAAACTCAATTTTTCAGGGTCTCATCACCATCATGTGGAAGATGGAACCACATTGGACATGTCTGAAGAACCAAACAACTCCTAGCGATGTGGAATAGATTTATTGAAATAACCATCAAGTGTGTTGCCTAAAATTTTAGGCTCAAGAAACAAATGAACTTGAAGTTAATAGCTAAAGAAATTTCCCATTGAACAGCAGGGAGATACAAGAAGCTAGGAAGTAACAGAATGTTGAGAGAAAAGGAAGAACTGTAGAAGGAGTGCTTAGGGGACAGCGTGGAGGAGAGGAGTGCGTGAAGAGATGACAGAGCTTTGCACTTCTTTGAAACTGAGTTCATAAGTTCAAGAAGAAAGTATATCCCAAACACATAGTTAAATAAAATCCATTCTGAGACCAATTGTAGAACACTGCATTATAACACAAAATTCTAGAAGCAACCAATGGGAGAAAAACTACAATTGGATGAATGCAACATAGTCACATATTCATTAGGCTTCTCAGCAATGATACCTTTTGAATTCTAGGACAAAATAATTAGCTTAAGAACTTGTGCCATGTAAAACTGAAATAAATATGTTCAGGTGAAAAATGTGTTTCTCGGGCCTTCTTTGGAAACTACAGAATGGTGATGTTCAAGAATAAAGCGGGAAGTGGGTGGTGGATGGTTACAATGCCACTGAGAATGCCCCCTCCCACACGACAGTGGGGTGGCAAGCTCCAAGTTCCTGCTAATGTGCTGCATGGCAGTAGGCAGTGGCTCTAGGACTTGGGCCCCACCACACACGTGGGACACTCAGGTGGAGTTTCTGGGTTGCAGCCTTGGTGTTTTCCAACCCGGGCCGTTCTCAGCATTCCAGGAGGAAGCCAGTGGAAAGATGAATCTTCCCCACTCTCTTTCTTGGTTTCTATTTCTCTGCCTTGCAAATGATTGATAAATAAATAAATCGTTTTAGAAAAAGCCACTCCAAAAGGATGGTATGAAATTGAAGAGTTAATGGCCTGGGTGGGATCTGGTGATGGCACCGCGTGGCAGTACTCACATGCCAGCTCCAAGGGCCTTGGTTGGAGTCATGACTGTACTTGCAACTCCAGCTTCTTGCCAACGTGACCCTTGGGGCAGCAGGTGATGGCCCAAGTGCCATGTGTCATGCCACCCATGTGGGATACCCAGAGTGCATTCCAGCTCTGGGCCCAACCCTGGCTGTTGCGGGCATTCGGGGAATGTAAAAACATGGAAGATAACCTGTCTCTGTTTATCTCTGCCTCTCAAATAAATAAGAATTGTTTTTAAAAAACTAATGAGGAAGTGAAGTGGTGTGTATATGTATGAATTTTAATTGTTTGCATCAAAGGCATAATAAAAGTTTATAAAATAGGAAGATTAGGTTTAAGGGTTCTGAGAAACTTGTTTAAGTTTATGTCATTATATTAAATACATCTAGCCACATTTCAGTGCTAACTGCTAAAAAATAAAGGATTAATTATTCCAAAGGCAAGAACGTTTAAAATATAAAGAAGGCAGTTACAGAAAGAAATTACTGCGGGTGGGGGTGGGGAGTTGGATGGGAGGACTAGAAACCATTTGTAAAAGAATTCTCTAATATTGGATATTAGATAACTGAATATTAACATTAATTATCCAATATCCAGAGTTAATTATGAATAGGCTGAAGTGCCCATTTAAATGGCATATTGGTTAAGTTTCATTTAAAAAAAATTATTATTTGTACAGACTAAAGACAGTAAAAATGTAAGATGGAAGTTAAAAGTAAAAAAGATGATATAGCTGCATTACACAAACACTAAGAGTAATTGTGTAGGTTAAATCATATTGGACTTCATAGTATTAAAGACAAAATTAGACCACTAAAAATAGTAAGGGAGGACCCGGCACAGTAGCCTAGCGGCTGAAGTCCTTTCCTTGCATGCACGGGGATGCCATTTGGGCGCTGGTTCTAATCCCGGCAGCCCCACTTCCCATCTAGCTCCTTGCTTGTGGCCTGGGAAAGCCGTCAAGGACGGCCCAAAACCTTGGGACCCTACACCCTCGTGGGAGACCCAGAAGAGACTCTGGGCTCTTGGCTTTGGATTGGCTCAGCTCCACTTGGGGAATGAATCATTGAATGGAAGATCTTCCCCTCTGTCTCTTCTCTCTGAATCTGAATTTCCAATAAAAACAATTTTAAAATAGTAAAGAAATAACAGAAACAGCCTGGCAGCATGACCTAGCAGCTAAAGAACTCGCCTTGAACGCACCGGGATCACATATGGGCACTGGTTCTAATCCCAGCAGCTCCACTTCCCATCCAGCTCCCTGCTTGTGGCCTGGGAAAGCAGCCAAGGACAGCCCAAAGCCTTGGAACTCTGCACCCATGTGGGAGACCCGGAAGAGGTTCCTGGCTCCTGGCTTCGGATCAGCGCAGTACCAGCCATTGGTCACTTGGGGATTGAATCATCGGGCAGAAGATCTTCCTCTCTGTACATCTGACTTTGTAATAAAAATAAATGAATCTTAAAAACAAACAAACAGAGGTCATTAAAAATAGTAACTGCCATATGTTTTCAGGTTTAAAAATCTGGATGAAAGAAAAAACCCACCACTTGAGCGTTGGATGCAGCAGAGTGGAACATTATGGGAAAGCACTTGGAATGTGTCAGGTCAGGACACAGTGGGTTACAGTGCAGTTGGGGAAGCGCATTGGGTGCTGGGACACCTAGCGTAGCTTTTCAGGTCCGCTTTACAGAAGTAAGCTTAATAGAAGTGTAGTATTTGAAATTCTGTGCACCTTCCCTTGAAGTTTATGAAGCTGGTGTTACTAAAATGAAGATACATCCAATTGGAGAAATTGCTGTAAGTTAATAGCACTAATGTATAAAAATCAACAGCACTGAATGGAAGTTAGCACATAGAAGGGGTGAGGCATCATGACTAAATTTTATAAATTAAAAATCAGGAAAACTAGAATATCATTTCAGCTGTCCATTAGCAAATGGTCGGCCAGGAAGCCAGGGATTTTAAGAGAGTGGAACAATGCATGAAAACAGCATTGGTGATGGTTTTGAGCAGTGGCTTCCTTGATGCTTTCGTTACTTAACTGGCAGTAATGTGTGTTGATTTGATTGTCTGTTACTTCCTAACACCTCCAAATTGGACGGACTTTAAGAAAGGAATTGTTTCATTCTAAACAGTTTTGAGTTGGTGGGTATCGGATGGGTGATTCTGCGTTCCGCTAATCAGAAAGAAGTTTGAAAAGGCACTTGAGCTTTAACCATGAGACATGCTCCATGGAAAAGTGGATCCGAGTAAACTGGGGATCTGGTGGATCTGGTAGCATCTGAGGCCACTCGGTGCTGTGCCTGCAGAGTTCTCACTCAGTCCTCCAGCGGCTGACTTTCAAAGTTCTTCCACCTTGAAGGCTGTGGTGCACCAAGTGGCATCCTAAACTGAGCATGACAGAAGCCAAGTATCCTTTAGGTCTTCATGTTTACTACTGTGTGCTGGTAAAGTCATGTAGAGGCCAGTGTTGAGGACGGGAAGGAGGGATGAAGGCAAAAGCAAAGCACTTTACCTTCCCTTGCGAAAGAGGGATTGATGGTAGCCAGCACTGGTTCTCTTTAATACACTGACCACAGCAATGAAAGCTCCTCACCTCCTCCTGTAGTTTGGCATCATGTTCAAGCTTGAGGTAACAAATGTCCCCTGAACCAGTGTTGGTTACATCTGAGATGACTTTATGGTAGTGCCTGTCAATTTGAAGATAAGCTAAGGAAGGGTGTTGCTTCCCTGTATTCACGCAGCAGGGAATGAGTCAGGCAAAGGATGCTATTTAAGGTAAAATAGGGTCATAAGAGCTCAGTGCGGTAGCCTGGCAGCTGAAGTCCTTGCCTTGCACGTGCCAGGATCCCATGTGGGTGCCAGCTCTAATCCTGGGGGCCCCGCTTTTCATCCAGCTCCCTGCTTGTGGCCTGCGAAAACAGTTGAGGACAGCCTAAAGCCTTGGGACCCTGCACCCTCGTGAGAAACCTGGAAGAAGTTCCTGGCTCCTGACTTCCTATTGACACAGCTCCAGCCATTGCAGCCATTTGGGCAGTGAATCATCGGATGGCAGATCTTCCTCTCTGTCTCCTCTCTGTGAATCTGACTTTCTAATAAAAAAAGCAGGGGGGTGGTTAATAAGAGGAGCATAGCAGTGAGTGGTCCATAGCTGTTTTGAAGTGCAGTTGGGTGCATATCTGAACTGTATGTGGCTCTAGGAACAGTGTGTGTAGACTAGGGCCTAATTCCTTCTAGTCAGTGGTTGGCAGCTCTTGACTCTTCTCTAAGAGATTTTGACTCTGCTTTGCTCCCATAAGAAATGGCTCAAGTCTAAGACCAAACAACTTTTGTCAAACTGCATCCTGATTTTTGGAGGTCAAAGGCTCAAAATAGCTGCTGTTGCCTTTTTTTTTTTTAAACCAGATTATCCCTTTAGTTAAGATGATGTAATCCCTTTTAAGATGTCTTGTGTTTTCTGTGAGTTGAGTTGTGATACACTCCAGTACACAGAAGGTATATTCATGGAGCTGCGGAACAGGTGTCTGCTTTGAGAGTCAGAGGTTGAGGGACAACACTTGTGAAAGTCTTGTTCATTGTCTAGCTGAGTGAATCTTCAAACTGTAAGATTCTTTCTTGTCTGCCTGTGAGATCCAAAAGGTACTGACCTCATGTTTTTCAGTGTTACCAAGACAGTACAGCTGCATCCTTTGAGTCTGTGACTAGCAACTCTGGCTTTAATCTTTGTCCTGAGGCAGTTTCTTGATGGCTGGAAAAGATGTTCTGGGTTACTTATAGCTCCTCTGAATTCTGCTCCAAAATGGAACAGCTTCTTTAGTTCGTTTCTCTCTCCTGTTTGATCATAGACTGCTAGAAAGTCAGTTGGCGTTTTTGAGCTGAATTATGTAAGTGTATCTATTAGGTTATCTTCTGTTCAGCAGTTTCCGTAAGCTTATTCGTTTTGGCTTTCACCATGCAGCAGATCTGATGTGCCTTTCACATCAAGGGCTGCTTTTTAGTCTCCTTGTTCTAGTGACTACATTGACCGAATGCCGCAAAGTCTCCCTTCTGCTCAGTGCCCGTGTTCAGGATGCATACTATGACCTGCTGCTGGAGAATCCTGACTCAGAATCATTTTCTGTTTTGGCTAATTTTGCTCTGTTGCAACCCCAGAACTATGGTGGCTTTCTGGAATGACTAAGTCTCGTTGTTGTGTGAGTAGATGGGATCCAGCCATGTCAGAGGGACTCATTTGGTGCCAGGTGTTGAGACTTCTGCTTACCAGCAAGTTGCACAGTTGATTTGATCCTCCCTTAAGGGACTTCTCCAGAGAATGTCTCTGCTTCTCGTGCGTGGCATGATGGTTGAATTCCATCAAAAGGGACGCCTAAGATGCGGTGTTGGTGGCTATGAGGATACCACTTTCTCTGTATTCACTTGGTTAAAGCAATCCCAAACCTAACCTGGTTGTACATGCACAGGAAAAGCAGCCCATCTCTTGGAGTGGGGCGTGCTTACATATAGGTAGCGCTGTTTGCAGTGAGGACTAGAGATTTGTAACTACACCTGAGTTTCATATATATATATATATATATATATGTATGTATGTCTCAAAGGAAAGAAGATTGGGAATATAGAAAAAGAAAAGATGAAGGAATTCTCCAGGAAAATAGAGACTGCTCTAAAAGTGCACTTTCCACAGTCTACTTTTTACCACAGTGCCTGTCTCATTCCTTCCTGCTGTGAACGCATGGACTCTTCCTGTATCCATGCCTGTGATGCTTGGCAGTCAGTCAACAATTCCAAGTTCTTTAAGCTTGTACGAATGTAAATTCACTTCATTTCTCTCATGTCAATTTGTGTTGAGAATATCAAGTATGCTAATAAATACTTGTAACATTGTTCTTACAAAGTCCATAGTCGTTACACATAGGTGAAATTAATATGTTAACAGGTTTTCACTTAGCAGTTATAAAAGACAACAGATCAAAGTGGACTTAAAGTTTGTAGTTTGTCTTTGCTTTTGCCATTTTAGAACTATCTTTGTGTACACATTGAGACTCAGGGTTGATACGAGGTGGCACTTCCTCATCCCTGGGTACTGCGATGTGTGGAAAGTCATGACTGGTTTCCCCCTTTGTCTCTCCCCTTACCCTAAGAACAACAAGAAGAAATAGCAAATTTGGAAGCAATGATTTCACCCAATTTTCCCTAAACCTCAATTCTTCCCACCCTGATCAATCATGTAATCATT